CCCGCCTCCCAACGGCCCACCGGCTGCGCGCTCCGGGGACGCGCCCCACTCGCCCGGGCAGCGTCTCCAGATTGTGGTTAACACGCAGACTCCCAGCCTCCCTTCTCGACGGGCCAGGCCAGGGGCGTGGGGGTCTCGAGTGTACGATGGGGCAGGTTTGGGAACGGAACTGCCCCAAGGCCGAGAGTTTGGGCCCTTGGTAGTGGTCACTAGTGGTCTAGGACCTGCGTCAGAGCCTTCCTGCGGCAAGGTTCTCCCGAGGCAGTGCTAATGTTTCCCTGGGGCAGGGCCAAAGCCAGAGCCCCTTTGATAATTTGCCCCCCAACAGGGCTGCACTGGAGGAGGCTCCAGGGTGAAGTCTGTAAAGGGTGCTAGGAGGCCCTACCCCCCGAGGACAGAAGTCCCTGCAGGGTGGGTGGGTGGGGGGGTTCCTGCTTTGGGGACTGCTCCCTCTGAACAGACCTGGCCAGGCTATCACAGCAGGTCTGAAAAGCTGACTGCTGTCTTTGGTCTCTGCCTGGGAGGCTCACGGACCATGCCAGCACCTGCCTCTGATCAGTACCTCCTCAGGCTAGGCCACTTAAGCCTGCCAAGGAGACGATTGCTGCTTTCCTGCAGAGTTTTGAGCTGTCCACAGTCCCAGCAGAGGAACGGATGGGTTAAAACATACAGAGACATACACATACCTATGTCATGTCGGGCCGGCTGGCTGAGGGCTGACTTCTCTGGGGACCTGGCGAAGTGACGGCTGCTGTGCACCTGACATGCCACAGCAGCCACCAGCAGAGCCGGCCTCCAGAGTGATCTTTTAACAGGTCCTCACTGACCATCCCTGATGCTGCCCTCGAGGCCTATGCCTGGCTTCCCATCTCAGGAATCCATGCCGCCAGCCCCCGGGGGGGACACTGGATGCTGGGATCTAAGCTTCCCAGACTTGCCTGATCTTAAAACCACCAGAGATGTGTCCACATGTAGAACCTCCGGGCTCCACACGCTGGCACCTTTCTCGTCCTGGCTGCCCTCCTTTCTGGGATGCATTTCTATTCAGATTTTGTCCCAGGAAACAAACAAAAAAACCCCAAACAAAAGACAAAATCATTAATTTTTTGTGTCCCAGGGTCCACAAAGTTGCAGGCCTGCCTAGGGAGGTAGAAAATAGAAATGAATGAGGTGGTCTGTGAGATACTGGTGACCTGGAGGGCACGGCGGGCCCAGGCCAGGACCAAGGCCAGGCCCCACTGCTTTGCAGGCAGAAGGTAGGCCTGGGGCTGCAAGATTTGTCTCAGCCCAGAAGGGTGGTTCTCAGCCCTGGTGACACACTCAGATCACCAGGTGAGCGCTGAAAAACGCCAGAGCCTTCTCCAAGCGACCAGTGAAATCTAAAGCCTGGAAGGTGGGCCCGGGTGTGAGGATTTGTTTCCCCTTCCAGCTTTACGGAGATGCCTTTGACAGGCGTGAGGACTTCGCAGTGGATGCGCTGCCTCCTCGGGGAGGCTAAGGCACTGGCCGGTGGAGAAGGACACCCTGGGGCCGTGGAAATGTCGCCCTGCTGCTCAGCTGGAGGAAGTGGGAGGCAGTGGGCCCAGGGCTCCCCGGGGTCCAGGGCAGGCTCTCCACCACCTGAGGGCAGCCTGGTCTGGAGAAAAGCGAAGCTGGGGCAGCCCCTCCCCTGGGACCTCTCACGAGGGCGGGAGGGTTGCCTGGGTGGTGGGTTTTGGGCCCCCCTACATCCACATTCCCCAGGAATGATGGCCAAAGAAATGAATCCCACCCCAGGCCTCCTTCCCACGGAGAAACCTGTCCTCTGTCCACACCAGGGCGGTGCAGCAGAAGTCAGAGCTGGGCCCAGAGCCGCGTCTGGTGAAGCCAGCAGGCACTGCAGCTGGGGACGCTGGTGCCGAGCGCACCCATCGCGGGACGAAGACAGAGGACGGAAGAGGTTTGCAAGCCGGGCTCGGGGAGGCCAGGCCCTGTTTTCAAGTTCATGGGCTTTAGGCACTAATTGCTTTTGACCTTTTTAGCTCAGCAGTTTCCTTTTTTTTTTTTTTTAAGGAAAATAAAATGCACATAACATAAAATGTACCACTTAAACCATTTTTAAGTGTACAACTCAGTCTCACAACATATATTCACAGTGCTGGGCCACCATGGGCACTGTTTCCAGAACTATTCCATGATGGGACAGAAACTCTGTCCCAACTAAACAGTCTCCATTCATTTCCTCCCTGCCTGCCCCACCGCCTCTATTCGGTTTTCACTTGCTAAGATTTTTCCTATTCTAGGTACTTCAGATAAGTGGGATCAAACTATTTATCCTTCTGTGTTGGGCTTATTTTATTTAGTGTAAAGGCTTCAGGTACGTACACATTGTAGCATGGTTCAGAATTTTATTCCTTCTTGTGGCCCAATAGTATTCCATTACAGGTATGGATATACATGGGTATGTAAACCACATTTGTTTACCTGTCATCTGTTGACGGGCACTTGGATTGTTTCCGCCTTAGAGCTATTGCGAATAATGCTGCTAAGACCGTGGTATTCAAGTGTCTGAGTCACGGCTTTCGATTCTTCTGAGTGGATGCCTCGGAGTGGATGGAGTTGCTGGGTCATATGGTAACTCTGTTGAACTTTTTGGGGAATGACCAAAAGATGTTCCACGGGGCTGCAGCATTTTACACGACCTCAACTCGCACAAAGGTTCCGGTTTCTCCACGTCTTTGGGAACACTTCTTTTTCTTTCTTTGTTTTGTTTTGAATAAAGCCATACTACTGGCTGTAAAGTGGCTCTGATTTGCATTTCCCAAACGACTGATGACACTGAGCGTCTTTTCCTGTGCTGATCAGCCATCTGTGTGTCTTCTCTGGACAAATGTCTAAGTCCTTCGACCATTTTTAAAGTGCATTTGTTCTGTTACTGGATTGTGTGAGTTCTTTATGTAATCTGATACTACTCCCTTCTCAGGTAACATCGCGTTTGCGATCACCTCCTCCCAGTCTGCTGGCTGTGTTCTCAGGCTCTTGCCGTGTCCTTCGATGCACTAAAGTGTTAATTTTTTGTTTGTTTTTTGGGAGGAGGTAATTAGGTTCACTTATTTACTGTTATTTTTTTTAATGCAACAAAAGTGCTGGGGGTGGAGCCCAGGACCTCGTGCATGCTAAGCATGTGCTCTACCCCTGAGCTGTACCCTCCCCCAAAAAGTATTTGACTTTGAAGTTCGACTTACCTATTTTTCCTTTTGTTGCCTGTGCTTTTGGTGTCATAGGCAGGAAATCATTGCTGAACCCAGTGCCGTGAAACTTTCCCCCATGCTCTCTCCTAAGGATTTCATAGTTTTAGCTGTGACTTGTAACTTTACTTTCTGTTAATGCCTGTCCTGGGAATTCCTTATCCCACAGAACACCAGCCTCGCGGAAGTGCAGCACCATCCCGTCTTTCTCTGATATATTTCTCTTCCTGTTTCCCTTTTATCAATTGAAAGACACTGCTCTCAACTCTGGAAGTACCGCCTTTCACTGTGGGCTCCCGCTGGGCCCCTTTCTGCGCAGTGCATCCGTTCATTTATATTTATTTGTTAGCTGTGACATGTAGATCGCTGATCCACTTCAAGCTGATTTTTGTGGATGGTGTTAAGGTAAGAGTCCAGCTTCATTCTTTGCCCAGTAGTTTGTTGAAAAGATTGTCCTCTCTCCATTGAATGGCCTTGGCTCCCTTGTTGAAAATTAATTGACCATATAAGTGAGGATTCATTTCCGGGCTCTGTTCTATTCTGTTGGTCTATGTGGCTGTTCTTACGCTAATACCACACTGTTGCGATTACAGGAGTTTTGTATTAAATTCTGAGTCAGGAAGTTAAGTGTGACACCTCCCACTTTGTTCTTTTTCAAGATTGATTTGACTATTTAAAGTTCTGTGATTTTCTACGTGAATTTTAGGACAGGTTTTTCTAATTAATTCTTTTCTTTTGGCTGGGGGAGGTAATTAGGTTTATTTATTTTTAGAGGCGGACGGGGGATGGAACCCGGGACCTATGCGTGCTAGGTGTGCGCTCTCCCTCTGAGCTGTGCCCTCCCCCAGGACAGGTTTTTCTGTTTCTGCAGAAGCATCACTGGGGGTTTGGTAAGGACCGCACTGCCTCTGTGGACAGTTTGGGGCAGTACTGTCACCTCAGCAACGTTAAGTCCCCCAGTCCATGAGTACAGGGCGTCTTTCGTTTATTTAGGTCTTCAATTTCAGTCCGCGGTGCTTTGTGGTTTTCAGCGTGCAAGTGTCACCTTCCTGGTTACATTTATTCCTAGCGTTTTCTTTTTGACACTATTGTCAGTGGAATTACTTTAACTTTTTTTGCACTGTTTATTGCGAGTGTATATAAATGCAACTGAAGTTTGTATTGCGGTTTGTATTCTGTGAAGTTGCTAAATCAGTTTATTGTCTCTAACAATGTGGATTCTTCAGGGGTTTTCATACGAGGTTGTGTTACCTGAACAGAGGCACTTTTACTTCTCCCCTTCCAGCCTGGAGGCCTTTTCTCTCTTTTCTTCCCCAGCTGTTCTGGACAGAACTCCCAGCGCTGTGAGCAGAAGTGACGAAGGGGAAACCCTTGCCTTGTTCCCAGTCTCAGGGAGAAGGCTTTCCGTCTGTCACCACCGAGTGTGTGTTCTCCGTGGGGTTTTCGTAAATGGGTTTTATTATGTTGAGGAAGTGACCTGCTGCTGCTCGTTTACTCAGTGTTTTTATCATGAAAAGGTGCTGAATTTTTAAAAACTGAGATGTGACTGACGATCAGCGCGTTAATTCCAGGTGTGCCGCACGATTCGGTATTTGTGTGTGTCGCGAAGTGATTACAGGAAGTGTAGGTAACGTCCGTCAGCACACACAGTGGCAAATTTTTCCTCTTCTGATGAGCACGTTTAAGATCTAGTCTCTTGGGCAAACTGGGTGATCGTCAGTGGAGTCCGCTTCACCTGAAACCTGCCTTCACAGATCCAGGTTATTTTAGTTGTTGCTACGGGCCCGCGTGTCCTCGGAGCAGCGCGAGCCGCAAACAGCACGTTTGCCCGAGCTCCTCTGCAGAAGCGCGGAGTCGGCTGCGTCCGGCTGGGGCGGGGCGGGGCGGGGCCGGGTGGGACCCGCGGGACCCTCCAGCCGACTGCGTG